AAACTAGGGATATTGAGATATTTGTTATTGTAGTTGGTTCTTTCATCATTTGTTGAATCCCTCTTTGGCCGATGAGTATGGTTTGATGATATATTTGGCTGGGGGATAGCACCTTATCTTTGTTCCCTTGCCTTTACCATAAATGTCTATGGTTTTATGTGAATCAAGCAAGAGAGGCTCAAAGGAGAGGCTCAAAGGAGAGGCTCAAAGTTCAAGTGTGGACTCTTCCATTCAAGTGATCATTAACTTTGTGCAAATATTGAGAGAGAAGCTGTTTATTCAACCCTCAAAAGTAGTAAGTGAGCAGATGACTTTAAATATTTGTTTATTAAAACCACACCGTTCTATATTTATAATTTAAATAAATTATAAATAAAATGGAAAGAGTAATAAACGGATAGTCCATGATCAGGAATCAGGAACAATAAATGAATGTACAATATGAGCCTATGATCAATAATAAAATATGATAGGAAAGTTGCCATTATTGACGGCAAAAGTTGGTGCCGGGGGATCCATCCGCATTACCTGCTATCTGTCGTGTTTCTGCTGCCTTTCAATATCTAGGTGGTGAGGGTCCTTTTTAGAAATAGAGCGAGCCTTATGAGTATTGAATCTCCTTTGAAATAGAATCTCTTCCTATTCTCACGGTTAAGAAACTGGGAAAGAAACCTGAATTCTTCGCACCTTCAACCATGGATTTTGAAAGCAACCACACCATTCCATATCACGCTGTAAAGCTAGGTATATATATATATATATATATGGTAAATGAAAGGATCTAAACAACTACTAATAGTAAAAAACTATATCTCATATATGATACATAATTTATATATATGGTTATATCTCTCCTTGTAACGACTAACTTTTCGAAGGACTCGAGCCATGGACGGTTACTTACTAATGTGAAAATAAGTAAAAATGCATCGTGCATGCACTTTGAAATTCAATTAAAATGGTAATGAAAATTTACTTTAAAAAAATTATATAAAGAGAAGACCACTAAAATACACCACAAGATCAAACTAATTAAAATACATGAAATAGTAAGTACAAAGGAACTCCAAACTAAAGTGTGATGACATTCCCTATAGCCAACAACTCACATGTGCTTCCGTTCCATTGCTACGTCAAGCTCCACTTGAAAAGAATGTTGAAGTAGCAGAGAAGATTAAATAAAATATGTTCAGTAAGCACCTTGTTGGTAGTTCATATTTCGTTTTTAACTCTTAGTCTTGTTCATACATACGGTATCTTATTTTCTTTTAGGGATTCGTTTCTCATATAGGCTCTTCTTAGGTTACACCCTAGGTTTACTCATTCTACTTTCTCTTGATTTTTGGTCCTATCTAAACCTCCAACCCTTGGAATATTCTTAAGGTCGCTAGAGACCTAGTTAGTTGTTTCAGTTAGTCTCTCATCATCATCATATCTATAAGTTCTTGAGGCGCGACCTCGGTATAAGTCTCATAGGATTCATGCATGCTAAAGCTCGACCAACTCTAAGGTGCAACTGTAGACCCCTGCCGCTCGTGGCAAGTTCACTAAAAGAAAACTAACTGGCAAACTTCCAAATAATCCCCACAGGGCACAAAGCATACATCCTAAAACCATAGGCCAGTTCTATGGTTATTCGAACCCCTGACCATCAAGTCAGGTTTACGATGAGGGGCTAGTTGGCGAACCCTTACCATCCCCGTATAACCGCATAACTCACATAAATGAACAATAATCATAACCAACTCGTAAGATACAATTGTGGACCTCTGCCGCTCATGTCAGACTCACTATAGGAAACTAACTAGCAAACTTCATAGTAGCCCACACAGGGTACCGTCATAAATCATAACATATCATCAATCAGTTCTATGGTTTTCCGGACCCCTGATAATCGAGTCAGGTTTACGATTGGAGGTTAGTTGGCGAACCCAAAATGCTTAAGGTCTGAAAATGGAGGAAAGTACGACAAGTCAGAATTCAAAGCATTTTGTGCAGCTGAGAAAATTAGATTAACAAAAACAGTTCCTGATAAAGCAACACAAAATGGTATTGCTGAAAGAATGAGCATAACATTGAATGAGCGAGCAAGGAGTATGAGGATTCGTTCTAGTTTGCGAAAGGCATTTTGGGTTGATGCTGTAAATACAACAGTCTACTTGATCAATATAGGGTCGCCAGTACCCTTGGGGTTCAAGCTTCCATAAGAGGTATGGACAGGAAAATAACTCAAGTACTCTCACTTGAGAACTTTTGGCTACACAGCGTATGTTCGTGTTGATCCAGAGTAGAGTGATAAGCTTGACGTTGAGGCTGTGAAGTACTACTTCATAGGTTATGATTCTGACATGTTTAGGTAGAAGTTTTGGGATGTCAAGAACAAAATAATCCTGAGACAACGTGACATGACTTTTGATGAAGATGTCCTGTACAATAATAAAGAGAATAAAGGTTTCGAGACAGTAAAGCAAGTGGGAGTTGAGGTTGAGTTGCAAAATAATTAACATAGTGATATTGTAGCAGATACTCGAGAAATTTCTGAGATTGTTGTTGAGGAGCCAGAGGTGGAGCAAATGACACTTGAGCAGATGTTGAGAAGATTATCCATAACTATCAGACTACTAGATAGGTATGTACCTTCATTATACTATTTGTTGCTGACTGATGCAGGAGAACCAAAGCCCTTCGACTATGCTCTACAATTGGAGGATACAATCAAGTGAGAGCAAGTCATGGATGATGAGATGAGTTGGATGTCTAGTCTTCAAAATTGTGTTGCTCCTTCGTCTACTAAGGTTGAGTACGTGGCAATAGTTGATGCTAAAAAAGAGGTGATATGGATGACAGACTATCTAGAAGAATTAGACAAGCGCGAGAAGTTTCTTCATGTAGATAGTTAGAGTATCATACAGTTCATGAAAAACCTGGTCTATCAAAGACAAAACACATCATAAGATGATATCATTTCACTCTTTAGGTTATGTGTTTGGAGAAGATAGAGGGTTCAAAGATTCTAGAAAACATATTAACATGTGTCGATGTTGGAAAATTGAGGTTGTGCAAAGCTTCAATTACTACAGTGGTGAAGATGATGATAGTCGTTTGAGAATAAAATTCTTGGTTGATTGGATTTGTCTCCAAGTAAAAAAATTGTTGGGTTATAGAGTCGGTTGTTTATTTATAGCTCAATCAATGGTTATACATAGTAAAACTATATATTATAAATCACATGTAAAGCAAATAATCATATATAGTAACAACTATGTAGAGTAAAATATTATATCGGGTAAAGCTATATATGGCAAGTGACATATAAAGTAAATAGTAAACAAGTACATATAGTAAAAGACTATATCGAGTATAACTATATATAATAAATGACATATGAAGTAAATAGTTTATATATTAAACAACTATGTATAGTAAATAGGTATATATAATTGATAATTATATCTAGTAAAACTATATATAATAAAATGAATTTTATATATATATCCTTTTAGGTAGTGTTTTAAAAATATATAAAAAAAAGGTATTTTCTGTCTCCTTCATTCTCTTGTGTCCTACTTTTTTTAGTTAATATTGTGCGATCCTAACACATGTATGTTAGAGTCCGTACATGGAATTTTGTGGGGACCCAAATTTATCAATCGAGTAACTAAACACCGTTCCCGAGCACTTCCTCCTACACCATGAACACTCAGCACTACCAAAATTGTCTCTATACTTGGAACCCTTGCTATAAGTAAGATTTTATCATTTAAATCTTCTTCATTGAAGGTTGTTACTTCATTTAGTAGTTAACCTTTTTTTTGTCTTTCATTTCCTTGAATTGTTTAGTTTGTCATCTGCCACACATAAGTGGTTGCCTGACCTAATAACGGCAGTCTTGAACGCCTAGAAGAGCTTGGAAGGTTGCAAATAAGTGAGAGAATTGGTAAGTGAGTGCATCGCATGAAATTAGAATAGCAGCACTCTATAAATAAGTTCATTGTCAAATTGGAACTTGAAATTCAATCTGTTTATTATTCCTTAAATTTTGTATTGTCAAATTGGAAATTGGTTTATGTATTAGCAAACTGTTCGAAATGGAAATGCAATGTGTGAATCTGGCTCAGCAGTATGGTAATGAGACATAAGAGATAAAATGTGAGTCGGGCGTTAGGTGGGAGTAGCCATCTGTCGTTCTAATTTGCAATGAAGACAACAACACAGAATTGGACAAGGTAGATATTAAATGAAACCAAATGGAATTCAACAAAAAGACACACAAAAAAGAAATCTTTATAGATATGAACAGCCCGTGATGATGAAGACACTGCCCATTGTCTGTGCCCTTCGTATTGGGTACCCGTGAACACCCAAGAACATCATCATCTTCACTCATGTTTTCATGTCTTGTAGCTCTTTTCTTCTTATGTCTGCCAACAATTATTCCCCCATTCTCCATTTTTCTACCGTTTTGTACATTTGTCTTACGACCGTATTTGAAGGAAACCCAAAAGGCAACGTGATGTTTTGATAACTAAACAAACTTGAAACTTAAAGGATTCAAATAAAAAATTTCAATGAAGAAATGACATTTTGAGGGTGGAGAGTGAAATCTGATTAGCTTTGGACTCAATTCTATTACTTTCATACATCCATATGACCCGTTACGATTGCTGCTGATTCATCGCCAACTCCGAATGTTCTAAATGAGATTCAAACTCTGAACAAAGTGTTAGTGAAGTGAAAGGTTCTAAAAGTGGAAAGAACATTCATCTATGGGCCCAATTTGTGTTAAATGACATAGAAGACAATTAGATGAAAAGAGTTAAAATTGGTGTGTGTGGTGACTCTACTTGTCTCGTGAACCAACATGGCCCCATTCCCAATTATGTGAATCATTCACAATTCTTCTCTTCTTATTCATTTGTCAGAGTTTCCAGAACACTCCCATATGGGAATTTAGATAGGGATAAAGAGGGCCTTGGTTTTTGAAAGATTGGTATAAAAAGGAGAGCAGGGTTCCACTTCGTATTCACAGTTCCTCTAAGAATTGTGCGCAATATGAAGATGTGTTGGACTTTGCTTCTCTTTGCTCTGTTTCTGAGCCTCACTTCCCACAATGCCTTCTCTCACACTCTTCACAACAACAAGCCTGCTGTTGTTGTCGGCACTGTGTTCTGCGACACTTGTTCCCAACAACGCCTCTCCAAGTCTACCTATTTCATCTCAGGTCCTTCTTATTTCTCGTTTACGATCTTTACTTACCACTTAAAGGCGCATCTAATTTGAGGTTATATTCTTTGCTTGCAGGAGCCATTGTTGCAGTTGAATGCAGAGACCATACAACCTCTGAAACCAATTTCAGACAGCAAGCGAAGACCAACAAAAATGGAAATTTCAAAGTAGTCTTGCCATTCTCTGTGCAAGAACACACCAACAAAATGGAAACCTGTTCTGTAAAAATGATCAAAAGCAGTGACCCCTTCTGCTCTGTACCCTCCTCTGCTACTTCCTCTTCTCTAAAACTGAAGAACTCTAAGATCAGAGATGGCACCAGGGTTTTCTCAGCTGGGTATTTCGCTTTCAAGCCATTGAAACAGCCCACTTCGTGCAATCGGAAGAACACCGACATTTTGAAATCCAAACAAGTGAACCCTCAGCTTCCTTTTCCGCCGATTGTTCCGCCGGTTATTCAGCCGCCATCGATTCTGCCGCCCAACCCTCTGCAGCCGGCGCCGCTGATCCCGAACCCGTTCCAGCCGCCAGCTCCGTTGATTCCGATCATTCCTATGCCGCCGTTGCCAATTTTAACACCGCCGTCTCCTCCGCCGACGGTGTTGCCGCCGTTTATACCGCCATTTCTGCCGCCGATCCCTGGTATTCCGTCTGGTCCGCCAAGAGTGAAAAAGATTCCATGAAGGATGATTTATGATTTTATTTGTAGTGATGTGAAGAGGTGTGATGGTGGGGAGTAAGAAGTAGAATATCGGAAATAAGTGGAGGAACACAATATTGGGTTTTTTCTAATACTATTTAAACTTTGAATCAGAATTTGAAGTACATCCATCCTCATATTCTTCCAACCCAACACAAAATATTCACTTTCCCGAGCTTGTTTAGTTAAGGGGCGATTAAACTCCGAGAATTTAAAGCTACTAGTACACTACGTTAAAATGATAATTCAAAAGAAATTCGATTCAATTATATTTAAATAAATAAATAACTTATGGATTAAGAAGTATTTGATAAGAATTAAAATATACAAGTAAATTCATATTGCCTCAAATGTTTTTTGTTTTAATAAAAGATATTGATCGTATTTGGCTTGCTTGTAGTTTTTGCATAACAGAGGCGGTGCGGCGGGTGGTGGAGAGATTCTTTCTTATCCCATCCTATTTTTATTTTTTAAAATATGTATTGGAAATATAAATATATATCTTATGAACCGATGTATCCATTTATATTTCACCTCACACATTTTATATTCCTCCTCGAATTGACGCAAGTATATTGCAATATTATCCTTACAATTAAAGAAATGCTAGTTGGAGAATACCTCCTCTAACGGCATCTAAGCTGGCTTGGGTATGATACGTTCGGACCCTTTCTTACTAGTTTTAACTCTTCATAAGTGTTTAAAGTCAGCATGACTACTTTTAACTGGTTTAAATTATTTTATACAAAATTCTAATAGTAGAATTCTTATTTATGATTGTGGGACTTTTTTGGTACAATTAAATTTCAGATAGCAGCTTTGGTCTAGATCAACTAAGTAAGTGATTCTACTATCGATTTGGTTGGAAGAATTGCTTTACGTATGATGACACATGCTTAGTGGTCCTACACATGTATATGTGTGATATGCTTAATATGTGATGTTATGATATGTGTCGCTATATGATTTGTCAAATAACATTACAGCCCAAGGGGTATGCAAGCTGACCTAATGAGCCCATGCTCGCACATATGGGTCATGTGCAGAGAAGTACTTCCTATCCAATTTGCCCAAATTGGAAAAGCTACCTAAGAGAAGACAATTTTAAATTATAGATCTTATCATTCTTTATGTGTTTACATTTCTTGACTCATTCTGCATGTGGTCACAACCTTTGTTATTATTCATGGGATCACAACCTTTGTTACTATTCATGTGGTCACAACCTTTGTTATTATTTTATTTCAGATAAAGGCAAGACACTTACTTACCGAGCATTGTTTAGGGTATCGTTTTAATCTTTTCTTTGGTTTTATTTATATTTCCTATTGATAACTTTTTGTTGTTTACTTTAAGTTCATGATATCATTTTAGCAAATTAAGTTCATGACATCATTTTAAGAATGTTCTACATAAAAAGGTCACATCATGTATATATCTAGAGATGGTTTGGCATATCATGTATATATCTAGAGATGGTTTGGCATGGGTAATATTTTCTTTTTGTAATTGACAAAAAAATTAAATGTACTATTCAATTTTTTAAAATATGATAATGCTTTTCTAATATATTAGTAAATAATGAATGATAGATTGGTTTTTTTTTTTTTAGAAGATATATAGTCATCATAGAATGAACAAAATACATAAAAATTTCCTAATAAATTCATCATTACAATTGTTCTAATTAATGAAGTTTAATACAAATGAAAATAGATATCAAATATATCAATACAACCTAAATTTATCCAAACTCGTTGGCTCTACATAACACAAAATTAGATCTAAAATGGTAGAATAGAATTTAACCTTACATGCTACGCAACATTGATGAAGCTGAGATATGAGGCTCGTAACATAAAACAATGTAAAATTATATATGGTATGAGAAAAGGAAATGGAAGAACACTGAATGCTATATTAATTAGCCAATTTAATAAGGGTGGCAGAGAAAGGATTCATACAAGATGAGGTGCTCCAAAAGGAACCAAAACTTGGATAGTACAACTCATCTCTCAACAGTTCATTGCATCGAAATCATCCAACTTATCGTTATATTGTAGAACCTTTCTCTTTATCTTCGATGAATCAACCCATGTGATGAAGTCCTCCATGTTCCTTGTAACTAGGAATGCTGGGTCATTAACTGTCTCTGGACCAACTCTAATATGCCCTTGCTCAATGTATGTAACAGCTTCCCTCAAGTGCTCGGCGAATTTCAAACGTACCAGTACTGTCGACAGCCTCCGTCTGCAACGAGAAAGGGGAAAACAGGGTTGAGGTCAAAATAATATGCAGCAAAAGGATGAGGGTTCATGTATTGGTAATACTGGGCTATTAGCAGTAGAAAACATGAAAAACTCCAAAGAAGAAATGAATTATTTTCTGCAGGATGTTCGTTTTACCTGCAAAAGGATGACACTGACAGGCGATCGCATAAATTCAAGCTCTGTCTGGTTGGTATCACGCCCATATTGTACCTGTTATATTTTTTTTTTCAGGAGAGCAAAGGTGGGAATATGTTACAGATAAAGTTGCAAATAATAGTAGACATGGTTATATATAATCAGATTATATTAATTCATCTCAGTTTAGTCAGATTAGCATGAAATTATTCATTCAGATTAGGATCATCTATAAAAAAGGATTTGGCTTCTTGGAACGTTGGACGAAAAGATATTATTACTGACAAGTTTAAAATGATTTCAGCTTTAGAAAATTATAATACACATTACTCATGATGAATATTGATAGTTTCTTAAGCCATTATTAGTCCAGAATCTTGGACAGCTTGAAAAAATGAAGTGGTTCTTGAAACATTGAGCCAAAAGATATTGATAAGTCCATTGAAAAGTTGATAGTTTCTTTAATATGATAGGTATAGGCGTAAATCGGACAACTAAAGTCTAAATCATTCGTAGAAGAAATAAGAAACAAACCCTTCATTCTATAAACCCTAAAGAGTATTGGGCAATAAGAGAAACATGATCAGCAATGCTTTATCAAAGAAGTTTGCGTCGATGACACAAATGTGGATCATTTTTTTAATGCAAACACAATTGTGGCTGGAGGATTTGAATGTAATGACTCCTCTCAATCTCATAACTAGCCCTTGAATTGTTAGAACCTCTACTAAGCTAGAAGGGGAGATTTTGGCAGTGATCGAATGAACAGTCTAACAACATGCCATAAATTTCTTCTCATCACTAATTTACACAAATAGACGACAAACTTGCTTAATGTAATGCAGGAAATTGTGTCTAAAATTATAGCCAAAAGGAGGCAAGAACTCACAGCTTTTCGAGGAGTTTCTCGGTTAATTCCAATCGGAAAGGGTCTTTCTCGTTCATCTTCTTCAACATGCAAACCAGCTTCTGGACGCCCCGGCATATGCTCGAATACCTAAAACATCAAATGAAATAAAATAAAAATCAAAGCGGTAAACACAAAGAAAGTGGTAGAAATAGAAGAAGATGGATGAAAGGGGAAAGTACTTCTTGTAATCATCCCGTCCGGTGATGTGATAGCGATGCATCACTTGGGTTTCTCTATGACCTCCTTCTCTCTTCCATTCTAAGAAGTTGACCTTCTTCAAAAGCTTCTGCTCGTGAAACTTCAGCTTCCTCATCGGCTCTTCTGTTTCACCTCAAAACAGTTCGCAGCTGAAGAAGGTCTTGGTGTCGAACAAACAAGAGTGTCGCCGGAGAAGGGAACGTGGGAGAACAGAAGAGGGAGAAGGGAGAGTGGGAGCGGCGAAGAAAAGCTTGTGGGCGACGGCAGAGATAGAAGAAAATAACAAAATTTTAGGGTTTAAACAATCAAAAGCCCTAAACATTTTGCTGGGCCTTGGGCAGTAAGGGTATCTTGTTGAGCCCACCTTTATGTAGTGGGCCTAAGAAATTGGGCTGAGGAGGTGGTAACTACATAGCCATGAGCCCACAAACGAAACTTGGCTCTCATTTATATTATTTTGGTTGATTATTTACAAACAAATTCTAACATCTTCAAATATGGGTAAGACCAAAACAAATCTAATATATTTTTCATGTTTCTTTAGAATTATTTTATAATTATTTAATTAATTGGGTGTCCTTACTGCATAAATACCCTGGTAACATAATTGAAAAATGTAAGGAAACTTAATTTTATTTTAGAAAAAACTATTGAGTGAGTTAAATACTTGTAAATATTAGTCTGATCAGAAGAGTAATTACGTTCATGATTGGGAAATGGGGTTTACATTTTCTGATGAACACGAGGCTCGAGGTCGAGAATGAAGCCATGGAAGACGAGGGCAATGGCAACAATGCTCCTGTGGCCTTGCTGATGGCTCTTCCACGTTCTTAGCGACTCAACTAAATGAGAGCAGCACTAAGAACTGTTGGATATCCAATCTGAAATAAAAGCATCCTAGAGATACAAATATTTTAACCTCATAAACCATGCAACTAAAAATATTCTCAGGGGATCTCATTAATCTGGAGAATTACAGGCTACAATACATAAGGAGAAAGCCATCTACAATCAAAGAAATCCCAGTTGCTAACAGACCATGACCTGTAAAAAAAATGGCCAAGATTATCCCCCAAAACACCACCCCCACCCACCCATTTAAGGAAAAAATAATAATAATAATAATAATATCACACTCGAAGATGGAAGAGAACAAAGAAGGCACAGGGGTAAGATAAAGAAGCAGCTCAGTGTAACACACTACACCCCTGTTCTAAGCTTCTTGTGAGCTTGTTCTGAGTCCTCACTGAAGTAGCCATGTAAACTCTGTGCCGTCACTTGATTGTTCAAAGATTGTTTTTTGTCATCCTGGTGAAATAATGGATCACATCACAGAAGAAACAACATCACATCAATTCAACTAGCTAGCAGAAGAAAAGACTTCAAAAGGCCAAGGTGAAGATTTTGAACCTCTGAAAGGGACAACGATCTATTTGCTCGTCTTCCTACATCAACTTTCACTGAGATGTTTGTCTGTGACAAATCAACGCCTGAAGCCTGCAGGGCCTGGGTCAGGGTACTTAGTAACCTGCTCAATACAGAAACCATGTCAATCATAATACAAAAGAAAACTAAAGGGCTAAAACCAGAACATGGATTAAATTACATTCAGGACAGTTCAAGCCTTATAAGAACATTTACAGGGAAAAAAAATAGAGCTGGTAATTACATAAAAAGCCTCTTCTCGCTTTATCAAATCAATTATCTACCATCACAAGGGCAAGATGATACCAAGGAACTGCCTCATGCAGGCAAGGCAACTACACATTTTCACGATTGTGCCGAGGATATTTGAATTTAGCTAAAAAAGGGAAAGAAGCAGCATCTTCCAAATTTAATATCAAGAAGGTCAGACACAATTCATATAAAACTCATGGTAGATGCTCACCCATGGGAATAGACACCTGAGATACCCTCCATTTCACTTTCCACAGAGAGATCCTCCTGATCACTAACAGCATGGTTCAGAAAACCAGTAGTGGTATGGGTTCGACCCTGCAATAATTCGGTCTGGGTCTTGGAAGAGATGTTCTCTGATCCTGATGCAGGCTCGTCCAAAGACTCGGTTGATAAACTACCTCTTCCAACAGGTTCAAATACAATTGGTTGTGCATGCATGCCCATAGGGAGTCCTTGAGTAGCAGAGACAAAGGTATGATCCACCGCATTTAATACTGCAGCAGGACCCATGTCAGCATCCATCACATTCGGTGCATTTGTTAGCATTGCTTGGGAAAAAACGACAGCACTCTCATGATTGGAACCCCGCTTTACCACTTGGGAATGATCAACATAACTTTCAGCAGCTCTATAGTTCTTCTGACAGAAGTCGATTAGACAAATTACAAGATATTTCAGAGTTTGGAGAACAAACATGCCAGGGCAGCTTTTAAGTGTTTGTTCGCAGTTTCATTCATTAATAAGGGGAGTTGCTTATCCATCCATGACTCTCATAATCTCAAAAGAAAGAACAATATTGTAAAACGATTTCTAACATGAAAAGCATAATTAAGGGACCTTCCTAACTCAATTTCCAGAAAAAAGAAGCAAGAAAGTCACCAAACTGGTGAATGACAAGGTGAAAACAAAAGTCAATCAAGAAGAAGATTATACCCATGGAACCAATTTTGAAGGCTCTGAATTCCAACCTTGGCATGACCCTTCGTACATATTTAACTTCTCTTGTAGAAATTGAATGTACTCAATTACCTGATGTACAAATATGTCAAAGATTAATTTATACAACTAACAAGGAATTTCAAAACTAGAATAGGTAATATGCGAGACATACCTCTAACAAGAATGAAGCCTTGTCTCTTTTTTGATCATTCTGAGGTATGAGGTCTCTCAAAATCTGAAATCTGCCCCCATCAGAACACAATATTTCACAAAAACGTGAGATTGTCACGAAGATCCTAAAAAGAAACCCAGAACAAAAGGGCATATAAAAAATTAAAGAGAAAATATCCTGAAAACTAATCCATTAACACTTCAAAAGAAAATAATCCACAAGGTCGAGTAAATTTTTTTACATATCGTTTCATGGAGCGAAATGCAGCAGCATCTTGGTATCTAAGAAAATGATTTTCATAAAATATAACTCATTGAAACAGAATGTGGCAAGTCAATGTGCTACTGTTCATACAACAATCCTGAACAAGGTAAAATTTGAAGCGACTTCCAATTAATATCCAAACGCGACAAAACATATACGAGTTGCTCTAACATCTGAATACCCATGATCCCATATATTTAACTGAGAAACCATACAAATCTGCTTCGCTTTATTTTCACATAACATAACTCAAACGAGGCAATAGAAATACACGTATCCCTCAGACATGCTGAAGTATCCAAAAAGCCATTTGTATCAGCTCAAAAAGCCGAAAAACAAAAGGCCAATTTTTTTTTTTTTCTTAAAAAAGATCAAATTAGAATATCATTACAACTTTTTGGTACAAATTGAAGTATAAGCAGTACGCGGCCGCAACATACCTTTCATTAATTTTACTTCTCCTTCGCTGCTCGGTTTCGGAGTGTTTAGACCGATGACCACTCGCCTTGCTTTCCCCACTCTTCCCCTCTATTTTCACTCCCAACTCTGTAAAAGAAAAAAATGAAACCCATGAACCATTTCATTTCTTAAGAATAAAAAACTGAGGATTCAATTCAAAACCCAGAAACTAGAGAGAGAGAGAGAGAGAAAATACCGTTCCCGTCATCTTGGAAGCGTTCGTGGACGGACTTGGAAGACTTCACCATTGGTAATCCGAATGCAGTGCCGAAACAGTGCCTGGAACCTTAGATTTGAAAGCTCCAAGAAGAAGGTAAGGAAACGAAGAAATGAAAAGGGAGGGATATTGTGAAGTATTCGAACGGCAGAGTAAAAGAAGTAGAAGAAGGTTGAGAGTAGACTTGGAGAGCAATGGAAGCCCTAGAACTGGAGGAGAGGGTGGAGACTTAGAACTCGATATCTGTTTCTTCATTTGCTTTTGTTTTTTTTTTTTTTTTTAAATATTTATTTATAATTGAAATTATTGAAATTATTGCAAGGCTTCTGTTGGTAGTGGCGACTGCTAATTTGCGCCGATTTAGCACCGACCTTAGAGTTGCTTCCAGTGGGCCTATGTTTGGGTTTGGGTTTGAAGCCTGCCTTTGGGCCTTTCCTTGCCTACCTGAGTCCCTAGGTCTTGTAAATTCAAGCATTAAGGATTTTTTGTTTTTGCTTTTTATTATTAAAGTAATTTAACTAAATATTTAATTCCAATACAGTACAAATATAGAAAAGAAAAAAAAAAAAAAAAAAACTCTCAACAACAGCAACCGTGTGTCATAGACTTTGATCGGCCAAGTGATAGAACTGTAGATGGTCTCCAAACGTCTGTGTGGACCATTTCCAACCGCACTTTCTTCAATTCTCTGGTAGCCTTTATGAAGCTAACTCGTTTATGTTTATCTGTTTATTCCTAATGCAGCTCTCACGAGGACTCATATTAACTGATTTCTGACCTTCTAAAAACTCTTTCGCAACCAGCATTTTCATTCCTTTGATGCTCATATGTTCGAGTCTATTGTGTTATAGACTTTAATTTGAAACACTCTCAACAACAACAACCGTGTTCGTACACCCTGTAGTGGTGTATAAGGTTCTAAATTTTGTGACACGTGCTACCACCATAATACCCTTCACAATCTTCCAGGAACTCTTCCCAAATTTTGTTGCATAACCTGTGTTACCCAACTGACCAATAGAGATCAGGTTTTTTCTTGAAACTAGGAATATATCTAACATCATTTAATGTCCATTGATTTCCACGAACCCTTTCCAAACTTTGTTGCATAACCTATACTATCTAATTGACAAATAGAGATCAGTTTCTTCTTAATATCAGAAATATATCTAACATCCTTTAAGGTCCACTTCTTTCGTACATGAGTTTTCATGCAGACATCTCATTTCCTTCGATCTCCAAGGCTTTGTTGTCGGGGAGTTGCACCTTTCTAAATTTTTCATATTTGAAACTTGAAACAATTCCTTATTTGGAGACGAATAAAAAGATGCACCTGAATCCAAAATCCAAAATTCAATCGAACTATCCATGCTGAGGATTAGAGCATCCCTTTGGTCTGTTTGGAATATTTTCACCGTTTTTTTATTTTGATCGACCTTTGTTTGGGTCCTTTAATTTACTTTTTCTCCTTTGGTCATCACTGAGTTAAGCACTAGATGAATCCCCAAATTTTCATTTATGAATACTTTTGTTGAGAATTACATCTCGAATTTCATCGAACTTTAGTTTCTTAGATCTTCAGGAACTATTGATCGCGACAACAATAGTATCCCACGACTAGGGTAAAAACGACATCAACATCAATGCTTTAATTTCATCTTCGAAATTAATTTCCACCGAACTAAGTTGACTTACAATCATAGTGAATTCATTTATATGATTAGCAACAAATCCACCTTCAAACATTTGTAGATTGAACAATCTCCGCATCAAATACAACTTTTTCATAGCCGACGATTTTTCGTACATATTCGACAGCGGCTTCAACAAATTTGACGTTGTCTTCTCCTTGATGATGTTAAATGCCACATTTTTAAACAACGTCAACTGAATCAACTCTAGGGCCTGATAATCCTTGAATTTCCACTGCCTTGTGGTCATGGTATTGGCTTCACCCCAATAGGAGTTTGTAAAGATCTTTCTCGTACAAATAATCTTCAATTTGCATCTTCCAAAAATTGAAATTGGATCCATCAAATTTTTCCATTCCTATTTTTGAAATTTTCATCTTCACATATCGTGGTGAATCTCGCTTAGCTCTGATACCAATTGTTAGGATCGCACAACAATGCACACACACTTAATCTAGATGGACACAAAGAACGGAAGAGAAAAATATGAGGAGGAATATTGACTAAAGATTTTATATTGATGTGTACAGTGATACTAGAGAGAATTAAGAAAATACATTACAAAGTATCTTTGACCCCATGTATATGGTTTCAATTTACTATATATAACTTTACCATATATAACCACCTATTATATATAAATATATGATCTCAATTAGAGATAGACTAATCAGAGATGAGGCGTGACAGAGTAAGAGGAGCATAGGTCTTCTTACTAGCAAGGGAGGTGATCACATAGGTTACTAGAGGAGGAGTTCGATGGTCAGGCTTCACAACACCAAAAAAAAAACGTGGAAATGCCAAATCTACAAGATGCTCGAGATGGAACTCATCTATAGCATGCGACGTACATTGGAGATGTTACCAGCATGTGCCATGGTAACCATGGCTAAGCGACAAAGGTCATAGTCTAGAAGAATCGACACTTCACTAGAAGAATATTATTATGTGGCAATGCAAATAACATAACAAAAGTCTGTGGTCGTGTCAATGTAAATTATTGACCCATTTTAGTTAATTTTGGTAATGCAAAACTACTTCACTCCACAAACAAAAACAGCCGTGAAAGAAGTCCCTAATTTTCCCAGCTTTCCTGAGTTGATGAGGTTCAGGCAATGGAATTGCTTTACCGACTTAAACGCATTGCCTTACCGACTTAAACGACTTAAACAAGGATGAAAAAGAAAATTTACATGAATTACACTGTTGGCTGTTCAAACCAGAGCAGATGGTTCACTGCTGAACCCAGTGCTCTAGAACCATTCAACTGGTTAGTGCCAACACGTGTGCATTACAAAACTGTTGCTACCAATTCCAAGCAACTCACTTCCTTCTTATCTCTCTCCACCATCAAGTTCCTCTTGATCGTTCAGCAGAATTGCTTCCTTACTCATCATCTCTCCATTTCTCTCTACCCTGTTCCCACTCCTGTACCCCAAAAATGATTCTGATGTTGGTTCATCTTCATCGCCATCTTCTTCAGTTTGCTTATCTTTCGATCGCAGGCCCGACTCACTTCGCATCCAATCGGGACAATGATGTACAACTCCTACACCACCAGCCTGAGCTTGCGAATGAGTCAAACGACTCGAAGGAGCATGCTCTGAGTCCTGTCTTGAGCAAGAACATTCAGGAACTGGATGTGATAGAAAAGATATTGATTTCACCACTGTTGATGCCTCTATCAGTCCGTCCAGTAACGACTTCCTTAGATGTTGGCGAATCGACCTCAGCCACGTATAGTTTGCATGATATAGCTGTTCTCTGGTTTCTGATAAGAGCGTTGCCACTTCTCTTCTGCATTGACAAAAGCGTCGTAAAGTTAACTCCAATCGACGTCGAATATATCAATATAGAAGAACATATACCTATCAGGCCGGTATGTTTTAAGTGAAGCTGACTGATAAAGTCTATGGCCCATCACCAAGCTTGCGAAATTCGGATGCCCCTTGCCATCACGATCGAACCCAGGGATAAAAACATCGGCTTCGACAGATATAAAATAATCAATAGCTTCCCAAAGCAATTTATGGGCATTGGTTCTCAACTCCATTACAGTACTTTCAGGCTCAATGTCACTCTCAGCCACCCAACCCCACCAACCTTCTATGTTATGTGGATATTTCAGCCTAGCTGGCGGAGGTGGCAACAGGCGAGGACGTGGACCATCACTCTTCCACATATCAGGCTTCGACTCCTTCAATACGGAAGGTGGAGACCTTGGATAGTTTCCTCCGACGTTTATCTCACGACCATAAAGCCTACTAAGTTCCCATGGGGTGCTGAGGGAAGTCCTGTCAACGACATTCTCGAAAATAGCATGGAGAGGAATCAAGGTTCGTTGTCCACCAAAAACTTCTCCGCCCGACACATATATAATGGTGTCCCATGAGTATCCATGAGCCCGGAGAAGAATTCCAACCTGTAAAAGGTGAATATTCATGACATCAAATTCTCCATTTTCATCTAACCATTTGATCCAAACAACTATAGCTTACCTCTTCTGGCATTAGAGGGCAAGAACCATTTAGTCGTTGCCCCTCAGAATTCATCGAAAGCTTCTCCTTGACGATCCCACGCCTTCGCATCCACACTCTTTTGTGCTGAATGAGCTCATTATGTACATCCTGAATTTCATTTCAAATTTAAAAAATAGATCACTAAAATGATAATAGCAGTTGCATAATCAAGGTTAAAATAGTGTACCTGAAACAGTTCAGCACAACCATAATACGCCAAGGCCTCTCTTGTCATCCCAGGATAGTAGGCTACGAACGGCCTGCCTGGAGCTCTTAACCTACAAAAAAATTCGAGTAAGAAGAACCGTTTCGAGAACCGTTCAAAACATTTCAAATACTTACCTATGCAGAATTTTAGTGGCAAGATCCTGAACTTCCACTCTGAATTGAAGAGCATGGAAGGCAACTCTACACCTCAATCTCTGATACTCTTCAAGATCAGGCGGAAGGACAGCCTAGATGTTCATTAAAGAGTACAATCTATGAGATTTCGAAAAGTTCGACCACCGAGATGTTCGTTATAAAAAGTTACCTGCAAGCATCCACCGTCGGAGATGACAAGTTCGACCACCGAATGCTTCTTCAGAACAGGAAGAACATGGTGGCGATAAAAATATGGGGATGCTAAGTAAGATGGCTTGAAATGTGGGATCTCCTTTTTCCTCCGAGCACCTTTCAGATTTCTCGGAAGTGTCTTCACGATGTTAACGTCTCTAGTCAAGGCTGCAATGAAGTGGTCTTCATTATAGAGATAAGAAAAACTCTTGAACTGGGAGCTGCACGAACATAATTGAACAGTTTTGATTGAAAAAGTAGTTTTCTGAGCAATGGAAAAGGTAATATAAAATGGAACAGTTCAAACCTGATTCCTTTGCTGCTTGTGGTTGATTGAATCTCGGGAATTACTAAGGTAGCATTAAGTAGCCGAGCAATGACAACAACATCACATATCTAGAAGGCCAAGCATTTTCAATTCCTTCAATTTGATATCATTACCTGATAGGATTATCATAAAGAAGATCAAAGCATTGCATCCTTACCGAAT